CCCCAAATATTAAAATGGTCTCGACCCTTCATTGTTAGTTTTGTCATAAACCATCAATTCTCTCACGCTTCTGTCTAGTGATTACAGTATACTGATGGCAACTTAATTTTTTTCTATCAATTCAGGATCTTGAAAGGCTTCAAGATTGTAAACTTGAAGATGATTCCTCAAATTGCAACAAGAGTGTTTATATTATGAAGCCCTGGTGATGTAGTAGTTATGCGTTGGGCTCCATACTACATGGTCAGCAGTTCGAAACCACCAGCAGCTCTGAGGGAGAAAGACTAGGCTTTCTACTCCCATATACAGTGACAGTCTCAGAAACCCACAGGAGGTCGCTATGAGTGAGCATTGACTCAGTAGTAGTGAGTGTTTATATTATGATGCATTCATCTCAGTGAGAACTCTCAGTAATGTTTCCCTGTGGCTCAGCATGGTACTAAATACTCTCTGATTTAAAGTGAAGTTTGGGTTAATTCAATTTGTATATATTGGCAACAAAACATTAATAAATTGGCTCTGATCCAAAGGCTGGGCATTACTGGTTCCTTAATAATTTTTATAGGATTAGGAATTTCAGTTTGTCGGAAGGTCTAGTAGATCATCCCTCACTGCCACTCATTGCCATTGAGTTGATGCCCACTCAAAGCGACCCTATAGGGCAGTGTAACTTTAACTTACTGCAAGAGTAGAAAGTTCAGTCATTCTCCTGATAAGTGTCTGTTGGGTTCCATCTGCTGACCTTGAGTACTGCAGCCTACTGCTTAACCACTATGTCAGATCATTCCTAGTAAGGATGATTTTGTTAGCTATCACTGGAAACGAGCCACTATAAAACTCAATGGCTTAAAACAACAGTCGCATGTATTTGCTCACAAGTCTGCAGTTTGGCAGGGTTTAACAGGGACAACTGTGTGTTCTACCTGGTGTCAGCAAGAATGGCTCACCCGAGGCTGCAGGATCCATTTCTACTGTGGCTCATTCAGATGGCTGGCCTATAAAGAATGACCAGTTCCTGTTCAAATGGACCAAACTCTGGTGGTTAGCTTTGCCTTCCTCACAGCATAGTGGCTTGGTTCCATGAAGGGAAATCTCTAGGGAGAATATTTCAAGAGACAGGTAGTAGAAACTATTAGTTTCTTAAGGCCAGAGACTGGAACAATCACAGTGTCCTTTCTGCTATATTCTTTTGATCAAGTAGTTCCCATGTTCAAATTCAAGAAGAGAGGAAATAGACCTCCAGTTCTTAATTTCTAGCTCTGGTTCTACCACTTAATAGTTTTATCTATGGGCAGATGATTTACCCTCTCTTAATCTCTGATTCATTCATTGAAAATCTGTACAGTGAGGAACTTTTGGCTCTAAAATTTCTTCTAGTGATGGCAGACCAGGGGACTTAAAAAACTCATACAAAATGTATAATGTGAACAACTATAAAATTATCTTTTATTTTAATTTTTACATGAGCTTTTTTTGGTAGTCCCCACATATGTGTGATTCTAACAATAGAAAATCAGTGTACATATAAGGTATGCAATTCTAACAAATGAATACTATAGTTCTGTGGGGATGGAGCGTTTTGTTTTGTTTTAGAAAGCCCTTTTGGAAGAGCAGCATATCACTCATTTCATAGACTGATTTTCTTTAAAATTTTTCACAGTTGTAATTTTCTAAAACATATAGTAGGGCATGAAAAGTAGCTTTAAATAAATAATGTAATAGTGAAGGCATACTGCTGTGATGATAATCAAGGGGTCTTCGTAAAGCTCATGCAAAGTAAACTTTATTTTTTTGAATATGTAAAAATGATTAAAAAAACACTATGCAAGGACATCGTTTCCACCACCACCACCACTACCCCCCCTTTTTTGCACAAATATAAACTCGTATTAACTTGTTGTAACACATCTGAACACGATCTAGTTTGAGGTTCTAAGAAGGATAAGATAATTAGTTTGAAGAGCCCCTATTAGAGCGACATGCATTCTGCTAAAATTAAAACAAGAACAAACATCAAATTTGTGGTGAAGTTTGGTAGTTAGGATGATAAAGTCATTGATATTTTATGAAAAGTATTCTTCAAAGAAATTGGGTCTTCACAAATGGGTCACTGGTTTCAAGTAGGGACAAGTCAGTGTTGGAGGTGAGCCCATAATGGTAGACCATCCATATCAATTGATGAGAAGACATTTACTCTAGTTCCTGAACTAACTGAAGAAGACCACTGATTAACCTAAACAACAGCAAACACTGGAGCCATCTCAATTAGCTCAACTTATATATATAATTTTCCACTCAACTGTTGCGCTCAGATTAGCGGCAGATAAAAGGAAAACTTTAAGTGGAAAATTTAAACACTCAGGATTAAGATCTTGAAACATTTCTCAGAAGGCTTGTAACAGGAGATGAGACATGGCTTTATTAGGAAGATGCTGAAAATAAAGCACAATTAAAGGAGTGCCTACCAAGAGGTAGAACGGGTCCAGTCAAAACAGAACTGAATTGGTGAAGGGCAAAAGTCATGGCAGCCAGTTTGTTTGTGATGCTCAAGATGTTTTGTTTGTTGACTTTCTGCAGAGCCAAGGAGTGAGAACGTGTTCTTGTTATGAGAGTGTTTGGGGAAAATTAGTCAAAGTTTTGCAGAGAGTGCCTTGGAGCGCTTCACCGTACAGTCTCCCACCATCACAGTGCTCCTGCTCACTCTAATCAAACAAGGAGAATTTTGCATGCTATGAGTAATCATTAGGTTTCCACCATACAGTCCTAATTTGGCTGCTTCTGACTGTTTTCTTTTTCTTTCAATATTAAAAAATCTTTAAAGGGCACCCATTATATTTCTTTATTTAATAATGTGAAAAAGACTGCTTTGTTGTGGTTAAATTCCCAGGACTCTTAAGTTCTTTAGGGGTGGATTAAGTGTTTGATAGACTGTGATCTTACAACCAGGAAGAGAGAAGAGTCAGGAGGGAAGTGTGTCCTTTGGACCCTGAGATACTTGCGCTTTGAACCTTCTTGATCCAGGAAACAGCTTTGACAGCAGAGGAGCAGCAACAGCAGAACCAGGAGCCAGAGAATGAGACAGAGCAGTGTACTTTACAGCTCACAGAGCAAGTAAAGCTCTACTTTGGGCAGGAGGCTGGCTTGTGGAGTGGGGCACCTTTGTGCATTTAATTGGGGGAGATGGGTTTGCTGATCCACAGAGCTAAACTTGAGTACCTTTGGGTTGACACAGTAGAGAGGTATTTATTAGCAGCCCTAAAAGGGAAGCTTGCACAGCAGAGAAGAAACTGCCCTGACTAAGCAACCATATAATCAGCATCTCTTACCTAAATTGTAACCTGTCAACTTTCCTAATAAGCACCATTATTGTGAACATCATTTATGAGTTCTTTGTGGCACTGCAGTGAATTATTGATTCCAGCTGAAAAGTAGAGAATGCTGGGGGATATAGAACAGGGAGGACCTCACTTACCTTAAGGAAGAAGAACTAGGACTAGACTAGCCCTCAAATCCCCCGCACTCTGGACCGCTGGCACCAGAGAAGCAGCAGAGGAGCAAGGACAGCAGAACCAATAACTTGAGACGGAGGGTGGGCCGTCCATGGAGTAAGTGAATTTCAGTGCTCTAGGGAGGCTTGCTTATGAATGGTACACATACAGGCAGATATTTGGAGAAGCAGGTTTGCTGAACCAAAGAAAGCTGAACACCTACAGGCTGAATTTTATGGTGCATTAGCATACACTGTGGGCTATTGGCAGCGATAAGAAGCTCTGTAATGTTGCCCGAGCAGGGCAGAGGGCAAGGGGCCACATGGCCGAATGAGAAGCCAAAGACTAGAGAGATGTAGGAGTGAATGAGATGAGACCAAAGAACTGTATTCTGGATGTTTCTGATCACTAATTATAACCTGTTAACTTCCCTAGTAAACCCCATAATTGTATTATCTGTGAATTCTGTGTGGCCATTGCAATGACCTATATATTCCTTAGCTGAGAATCAGTAAAGAGGGCTGAGGGTGGAAGCATGTTGAATCACCTTGAGCAATGTTGATGTGGAGTTTGAGCCTCCTTTCCCTTTCTGTAGCTGAAGGAGGTCAGGAGTCATCTCCCATACAATTTTCCACATATCATTATCTGTATCTTTCCAGTTGCCCTCTGTAGCTATTTATTTAGTTAATTCATTCACCACCTTAGCATGTATTGCAAATCTCTCCCATTTAGTGGTCACATAGACTTATTTTTCCTCAGTTTCAAATCTTTTGAAGGCTACCTACTAACCTCTAAGAGATGTACTCTTATACTTTCTCTGAGCCTCTCAGATGGAATTTTGTATACATCTCAGAATCTGTATTTCAAAGTTGTGTTGTTAATTGCCATCCTATCATCTCTGCTCATGGTGACCGTATGTACAGAAGAACAAGCTGTTTACTCCATCCTGTCTCATCTTTATAATCACTAGCATGTTTGAGTCCACTCTGTGCTATTGTGCCTATCCATATTACTGAGGATCCCCATGACCTCACTAACTTTTTACCTCACAAACATGATGTCATCCTTTAGAGATTGATCATACATATTTCTTTATGATTACTTTTGTTTTTAATGTAGAGTAAAGAAATTGTATTTTTAAACATTATGTAATTCTAGAACTTTAGGTCATTAATAATATGTTTGAGAGAATTTTTTCTTATGCCATTATTTAAGGATCAGAGTTCTAGAACAGTTGATAGAACTTTTGCATTTTTCTATCGACTGTGACAAACCACCCACTGTATTCTCATAGAAAGCAGAATAGTCTTTGTCATTGGCAACCATTTTGTGACAGAGTTTGCAAAATGACATAAAATACAGCCAGTTGTGAACGGTCAAGTTAGAATTTGCCAAAAAGTCAGCAGACAGACTGATAGAGGATAAACAAGATTTTGTGCCCCCTCCCCTTATTCCCCCCCCCCGTAAGATTTGTATGCTTCTTTCTTTCTTATTGCGTGGATCATTTTGTAGGTTACTGAGCACTTCCACATGGAGGCTGGCACATGACCAAGCTCAAGACACGCAACTTATCACAGTGGATGAAAAATTGGTAAGTATTTTCTCCTACTTACTGCAATGATTCTGCCCTCAAGGTTAGTTTTTTATAATACAAATTCAGTATGGTAATCTGGGCTCCTCTAGTAAAGCAATTTCAATGTGAAATTCCTCAATTGCTTGTAAATATTAAGAAAAATCCTTTAGTCACAGAAAGATGATATGTGGTAAACACTGTACTCCAATATTAAGTGATATACAAATATCAAGAAATTAAAATTAGAGAAACATTTCCATTTTGTTGATGCTTGCAGTTTGCAATCAGACCACTTATTTTAGTACTAGTGTATTTTTCACTTCCCCAGCTGTACTTCTGTTTAACTAAAATTTAAATTACTTAGCAATAGAAAATTGGTTTTCCTGGAACTATGCAACATTATTGTTACTATGTGCACAGACACAAACATATACACATATACATCCCATACTACATATGCATGAGGGTTAGATTATAAATAACATGAATAACAAATCACTAACAAAGTTTTGGCAGCTAGTGCATATAAAAATTTTAGTGTGTGGGCTGTTACTTTTGATGCAACTCGATATTTATGTTTACTTTGAACAATAGCATACGTTTTGTAAAGTTTTCAAGACATTTCTGGTGGAAATGCATAATAAGTGGTTTTTTATATCCAGTTTGCCATTTTCAGATATAAGGGTAAGTCACACTTTCTTGCTACCAGGGTTCTGATTCAGACATTCATATTTGAACATACCTTGCTGGTGAATGGCTGCAGACAAGTTTCTCAGTAATGCACTTGTCTTTCTCTTGTTAGGGTACCCCTTTTGGAAAGAGGAAGTTGGGTACTTTTTGTGCTATAGAAAAATTTAATTTGTGGTCAGCAATAATATATCGAATTTTTAACAAAACTCAAGCTCACATCCCAAATCATTAAAGCTCTGAAGCACATTTATGGGAATGCTGCCCTACATGAAACAACCGTTTTTAGATGGGCCAAGCATTTTAAGGAACGTTGGGAAGATATCGAAGATAAGCTAAGAAAGAGAAGACTGTCAGCCTTTACAAATGAAGAAAACTGTTTCTGAAGTCCAGACACCGAGGGAGAAAGACCTTAGAATTACTATTGGTTGTACTGAAGCTATTGAAGTAGGGTTCTGACATAGTTTGTTTGTTTGTTTGTTTGTTTAGATGCTTTTATTGAGAGCTCTTACATCTCATCACAATCCTTACATCCATTGCGTCAAGCACATTTGTACATATGCTGCCATCATCGTTTTCAAAGCATTTTCTTTCTACTTGAGCCCTTGATATCAGCTCTTCATTTTCCCTCTCCCTCTCCTGTTCGCCCTCCCTCATGAACCCTTGAGAAGTTATGAATTATTATTTTAATATCTTACATTGTCTTCTCTGTCACTCTTTACCCACTTTTCTGTTGTTCATCTCATGGGAGGGGGTTATATGTTGATCCTCGTGATTGATTCCCACTTTCTTCCCCCACCTTCCCCTTATCCTCCTGGTATCTCTACTCTCATTGTTGGCCCTGAGGGGTTTATCTATTCTGGATTCCCTGTGTTCTGGGCTCTTATCTGTAGCAGTGTGCATGTTCTGGTTTAACCCGATTTGTAAAGTAGAATTGAGGTCATGATAGTGGGGGTAAGGAAGCATTAAAGAACTAGAGGAAAGTTGTATGTTTCATTGGTGCTTTACTGTACCCTGACTGGCTCATCTCTTCCTTGTGACCCTTCTCTGAGGGGATGTCCAATTGTCTACAGGTGGGTCTTGGGTCTCCACTACATGCTTCCCCTCAACTCCCCATTCACATTGGATATGATTTTGTTCTGGGTCTTTGATACCTAATACTAGATCCCATTGACACCTCATGATCACAGAAGCTGGTGTGCTTCCTCCATGTAGGCTTTGTTCTCAGCTAGATGGCCGCCTGTTTATCTTCAAGCTTTTAAGACCCCAGATGCTATCTCTTTTGATAGCCAGGCACCATCAGCTTTCTTCACCACATTTGCTTATACACCCATTTTGTCTTCAGCGATCGGTAACGGGAAGGTGATAATCCCAGAATACCAGGTGATTAGAACAACGTGTTCTTGCATGGAGGGAGTACTTGAGTCAAGGCCCAATGTCCATCTGCAACCTTAATTCTTAACATATAGATATAAGTACATAGATCTATTCCACTCTCATTGTATATAAATATACTTACATATGTACATGTCTGTGTTAGACCTCTATAAATGTCCTTTACCTCTTGGTTCTTTCCTCTATTTCCTTTTACTTTCTTCTTGTCCCACCATTTTGTTTGGCTTTCATTCGGGCTTAGTAATTCCTCGCTGCTACATTGCCCTTGATTAAGCCCCACTAAGCATCTACGCCCTTCTTTTCATTGATTTTAGTTCACTTGTTCTCTTGTCCCAGGGTGGGTTCACCCCCTCACCTCACCCCTTCCTCTCCCTCTCACCACCCCCGTGCCTTCCTTCCTTCTACCTCCCCTTCTCCTGTATCCCCCCACCATCCATTCCGTTCGTTTCATCTCCAAATTGTTTATCCTGCCTATCTTATCTAGATAGACATGCATAGATATTAATAAGGGCAAAGACAAACAAAATAACAAAGGAAGTCAAAACCAACAAAACAACAACAAAAAGAAAGCCACTATCAAAAATGGAAAAGCCTGTAAATAGTTCAAGGTTTGTTTGTTGGCCTTTACAAGTGTTTTGTAGTCAAGTCTGATGGGGTGCCATGCTCTGTCTCCAAAGTCTATTTTTGGTCTTCCCCAGGGATTTCATCACTTTTCTCCCCTTGCTGCTCTGTTGCATGCCCTTAGTGTTTTGTCCCAGTGTGATGGGGTCAGATTGGGCACAATTCCTGCACTGTGCCTTCAGTGCTGTCCCCCTAGTACTATGGTTCATTGAGGGATGTCGTCTCATGGTGGGGCTGGACCTATGGTCTTCTCTGTGCATTGTCTGCTCTGAGCAGGAATATAATCCTCGGGGCTAGGTGGTCAGGATGTGTTCCCCTCCCTCTTCGTTTCTTCCGTATGCTCTAATCAGACGTACCCCCTTTCCCCAAGCTGTAGCTTCATAGTTTTGCTGGTTGGTGCCACTGAGCCTATTCCTACCCCTAGTTGGCCCTATGCTCAACAGAATGAAGCATTCTCTGGTCCTGTACCATCCTCACAATTGTTCCTATGCATGATCCATCCCATTGTTGCAGCCACTGTGTCAATCCATCTCGTTGACATAGTTTAGCTTTTTCGATTTTAAGTGATTATCTTAGCCTCCGCAAAGTTTTGGATTGATGGGTGTCACAAGCATTTCGTGAAGAAAAGGTAGCTCAGCAAGCTGATCTTCCATTGGATGGAAGGCAGTGAAGATGTTTTTATGGAAGGGACTGTACCCATGGACAAATCTTGGATTTACCAATACAGTCCAGAGTGTAAGGTCCAATGCAAAGAGTGACTTCCAAGGGGATCGACTAGTGGGAAAAAAAGCTAAACCCAATGACTGTCGAGTTGATTCTCGTTCATAGGGAAGCTCTTGGTCAGACAGAACTGCTCCAGAATTGCTGAGCCAGTTAAAACAAGGCAGAGAGGGCAGAAAATGGCAGCTGGTTGTTGGAACTCCAGAGGGGTAATCTTGATAGTTTTTCTAGGACACAGGACCATCTTAGAGCCTTTTTAGGAAGAAATTTTAAGAAAAATTGAAGACTGCATTGGTGAAATTAGGTCAAGGAAGTTGTGATGAGGAAGGTGTTGTTGTTATTTTTTTACCATTACGAAAATGTATCTGCTCATTCTTCAAGGGCTGTTCTATAAGAATTTCATTTGTAAACCTTCCCTCATTCACTCTACATCCCTGATCTCTCCTCTGCCTCTTTTGTTCCCCATAGTCTTCAATGGTTTGATGCGATCATTGATGCTAAAACTGCCTTTTCGATGTGGCACAGACTTTTCTGTGGGAAAGTCTAGTTAGACGGTAATACCACCTTCAGAAGTGTGTATGTAGATGGAGGATATGTTGAGAAACTTTACATATTGTTATTTTTTAAATAAAGGTTTCTAGGACTTTTTAGCAATCTTGTTTCTTCTATTTGTTGTATAACTTATTATGATTATATTATTACTAGTAAATTGTTATTAGTTTGTATTACTGAACTTTGAATATATAGTTAAAATTAAATTATTCATAATTGAAACCTCTATTTATATGATTAAAAATATAGACAGATAAATAGGAAAGTAGACAATTTGAAGAATATATCCTGTGCTCAGTATTGGTTTTATCTTTAACAGATTGGCTGCTTACAGACATTGCTAGCTTCCTAATGTAGATGGTCATCTTTTACCTACTTGACCACAGTATCCTCAAAATGGATTTCTACAGATATTTAATCTTCCTCAAGTTTATTTTTCACAGGACAGCCAAAATAGTCTTTTTAAGCTGCCTGATTTTGTCACTCTCTTGTATAAAATCCTTAGTGTGTTCCTATTGCCCTTAGAGTAAAAATTAAATTCTTAACATGTACTTTGAGGGCTTGTTTGATTTAGCTTTTACCATCCTCTCTAGGGTTATGTTGCATTAATTTCTTGTATGGGATATGCTTTAAATATACAAAGTTTGGGACTTTTTCTTTTTCCTCCTTCACAGCCTTTAGAGTCCCTGTTAACTCTGTCTGGGTGCTTTATGCCCACCCTCTGACTCTTCTTCCTGTTGACATTTGCTTATTTTCCAAATAGTAGGCAAACATTTCATACTTAGTGAGGTATACGATAGGTTCTCCATACCCACTGCCATCTCATCCATTCTGACTCATAGTGCACCTTTTGGACGGAGTAGAACTATTCCATTGGGTTTCTGAGACCAGGAATCTCTATGGGCTCAAGCATTACAATTGTGAGGATGGCCCAGGTTCAAATAGTTAGTGTTTAGTTCTGTTGTACATAGGGGTCACTATGAGTCAGAGCCTATTAGAGTATACCCAACATCAGTCTGAGGTATATATATTTTATCTTTGAA